AGTTAACACTACAAGACATTGCTGCAGCAGCAGTCCTCACAAACAGCTTGTGAGCCTGTATGCAGCAAAGATCAGGCATGGGCATACAGTAGCACCTTTGTCAGACCATCATGAACCGCAATGACTGTGATGTGGAACTTAGAATGCAGTTTTTTGCCACACACACCTTACTACTGCTTTAATCTTCCACTGACTCTGCGTGCTGTGTGTGGTGGGGAAAGCATGTGGTGTTGTCCACAGCAGCTGCAGGTTGCTGGGTGGGCCCTGTAGACAGACAAACATGCCCATCAGAAGTTAAATACACCAAACCCTGTATAGGAGACTCCATACAGAATATATGCAGCAAGAGGTAATTTGACACAAAATCCAAAGAAACTGCAGTTGCCCTTGTTTGCTTGCACATGAATGACAATTATCCCCCCTCAAAATCAGGGGATCCCCAACCATCTGTCAATCTCAGAGTGATGGACGCAACTGTGTAGATACCTGTAGTCACAGCTATCACCTCCCAAGCAGAAAAAGCATGCCCGGGAACCGAACTCAGGTCGGAACTAGGATACGAGCCTATACCAACCCGTTCTATCATGACTTCCCCAGAGAACATCTCACCAATCCCAAGTCTTAGCTCCGTGTATGACCTAGTAACCAACATACTTGCTCAACGGCATCTTCCTGTTTGAACCTGGGTAGTTGCCTTAATCAACCTGTTACATCATGATTTCCCCCAGAGAACAACTCACCAGTGTTTTCATGAGTAGTTGCCTTACCGCTTATAGACGTGAGTAGAGCTTGGGTACCTGCGAGCAGAAGAGTGCACTTGCTTCCGTGGGAGGAGGCGAGCCTGGTTACCGACTGCGTTATCTGCCTCGGGGCGGTGTAATTGGCAGACGACGCAGTGGAAACCTGTCAGTACTGACTAAATTAACTCGCGAAATTGCTCTTTCCGTCGCGCTCTCCGCGACTTGCCCTACTTTCTCACCAGTACGGCCCCGCCGTACCACCAACGAACTGCCGAGTACGCTCTCGGCAAATACACAGAAAACCTTGGTTTTCTTTCGTTACTCTCAGAAAACCTACAGTTTTCATGAGTAGTTGCCTTACCGCTTATAGACGTGAGTAGAGCTTGGGTACCTGCGAGCAGAAGAGTGCACTTGCTTCCGTGGGAGGAGGCGAGCCTGGTTACCGAAAACTTCAATAATCGCCGGTTGGGGTGCGAAGGGACCTGAGAGGAAAAGGGGTGGCATAGCCTTGCTCCGTGCGTTACACGCTGCCGAAAAGGCT